TTATCATTAACATTAACATGATTATTACCATTATCACCATTATCATTATCATTATCATCATTATTATTATTATTGTTGTTATTATTATTACTAATTATTTTATTGTAATAATAATAGATTGTAAAATTTAATGATTAATATCGTCGGAAAACCAACTGAATCATAGTTATTGTTATGATCAAAAATCAATTGTTACTATCATTATTGTTACCATTGTTATTTGTTATCAGAATTTATTAGAAACTATTATTATTACTATTAGAAATTATGATTTACCAAAAGAAAAAGGCGCAAAAAACGAGTATTAAGAGCTTAAAAATTAAGCCTGAATTATTGCTTTGTACCTGAAACTGATATGTTTTGTTAATTCTTTTTCCATTGCTTACAAAAATCTTAAGAAGTGACGCTTTAAAAAAAAAAAAATAGAAATCTGAAAATTCAAAATCGTTGAAAATAACCTTTTCACTTTCAGAAATCGATATGCATGGAATGAATGCATGCAAACGTTTTTTTTCACGGCGCGCACCGAATGTCAAAATTGCGGAATATAAGAAAATTTGATAAGTGTAATCGAATACTACCGCAATACTAATGTATGTACTAAATATCTGCAAAAAAAAAATCATTTTAAAAATTTTATCTCTCCCAGGAAAAAAAAACAACGGAAAGAAAAAGAGAACTTTGGAGAAGACATCGAAAATTTTTCTTTTGTAAAAGTAATGAAAAATTTTTCAGTAAAGAATTAAATGAAAAGAACATCATCACTTTAATACAAATAAAATTCATGCTGCCTTACGTAATTATTAAATGTATCTGATGAATTCGCTTTTCATTTGAAATTCGTTGAAATGCATGATAGACAAGATAATTTACCTGTATAGCTGGAGTAGGTGTAAAAATGCTAATTGCAAATGATAAAAAATTGGTAAGGGATGTTATCGTTATCGATGGCCCAGCTTCAGCAAGCATTTTACCAATTCGTTCTTCAACCGAAAGTCTTGGATCAGTTTGATGATAACAGTGAAGAAAGATGAAGACATCATCGACACCAATTGCTAGCACCAGAAATGGTACCACGCAAACGATTGGTAAGAACGGAAATTTACACTACAATGATGATTGTTTGTTCACTACTAATTCGTACATAGTGCAATTAATTACTGATAATATTTTTTATCGTGCAAAAATGATAATCATCTTTTTTTAGCTAAAAATTAACAAATTTTTATGCTGACATGATAGTAGGAAAAATATCAAAGGAACATATTCAAATTTTTTTTAGCTTAAACTATACATATTTTTGCTTGATTATTGAGTATTTTAATGGTATAATGAAGGAATAATTTGTTATTCTTTTTTTTTATAACTCGCTTATATCTTTGATATGAATTCATTACTTTCTTTCTTTTATATTATCAAAAATTCATACTTTTTTTTTCTAATTTCATATCTTTTTTTTT